CATTGGTGAATATGGAGTTTGCTCTTTGTGAGTTATGATATTGGATGCTTTTTATATATTCTGAAAAAACTTTTGAAAATTCTAAATCAAGATCGTCTGTTTGAATTGTATATTTTCTATTATTATGGTTTGGTGAGGTGAATTCTATGGAGTAGATTCCATACTGTTGTGTTATGTTGCATATATCTTTCAAGTAGTGGTCTATGATTTGTCTTTTGATTTTTACATCTGGGAACTCTGTTTTACATGGACTGATTCCGGGTTCAAATAAATTTAATAGTAAATTTTTGCAAAATATATGCTGTCCTCTATCAGTGGTTGCATCTACTATAAAAGGAAAGATTTCATCATCATCTGGACTTTCTTCACCTGGGGTGTGCGTTGAGCTCATTTTTTCGTTCGATGACTGTTAATATGTAATTATTAATGTGTCGAATTGGTTGATTCCAATTGTATAAATGTACTGGTTTGTGTTTATACTGCTTTTTTATTCTTCTTTTTCCTCTTTTTGATGAATTTGAAGTTGTTTCTGAGTCAGAAAAATATAATTGATCGTGAAGTGGGCAATTTTTATCTATTGATTCTTTTAGTTTGTAAAGTTCGTCTAAACTGTTGGTTTCTGATTCTGAAAATGCGTTTCGATTTTTTGAAAATCTTTTTCGTGTTATTTGTCTTTGTTTCGTTATTATTTTTCTTTTTAGTGTTTGTCGTTTTGTTCGAATGTATCCAACTGTTTGTGTATGAGGTGTGATTACAAGGTCGTATTTTTTGTTATCTATTTCACAATTGTGTAAAACGATTGTTTGTTTATTTCCTAGGTTTTTAAATGACATAAGGTTTAGGATGACGGATGCAAAAGGTTGTTAAATGGTTTCTATTTTCTTAAACTGTTAGTTCTTACGATTTTTTGGTTAGCTTAACCTGGGTCTGTTTGTTCAGGGTTGGAGAGAAAAGTATATCGATTCCGAAGAATGATTTTTTACTTTCTCGTGGCTAGTATAAGTTAAGGTGTTAACTTACTTAATCTTACTTAGGGGTAGTGATTGTGTTCAAGGGTTGGAGAATAGTAAATCGATCCACAAGGTTCAGGTATAATTAGAACGCGAGTAGTTCGTTAGATACTATTTTAAACTTACTAAGTCTAAGATTTATCCTGGGTCTGGTAAGAGGGGGGGTCAAGTGAAGGATGAATAACCGAAGTTCTTCACTGTTTATCCTAATTTGAATGATTAGTTTTGTTTAAAAATTTCTATTAGTCTTAGGTCTTTAGAAAGGGTTGGGTAGTGAATCGACGTTTGAGGTCGTTAGACACTAATTAAGTGGGTGGGGGAGAACAAAGTTGTTCTGTTTGATCCAAGGATAAGCCTTGATGATCAAATTTGAAATTTAATTAAGTAGAAAATGATTTAAGATCCAAGGATAAGCCTTGATGATCTGGTTTTAAAATTAAGTGAATTTAAGTTTTAATAAAATTTTAAATGTGTGTAAAGGAAAGATTTAGTGTTTTGGTGATATTAGTGGGTTTATGATTGCTGTTATGTTTTAGATGATGGAGCTGGAACAACAGGATGATTTATGATTACTAACCATTTATTGTCATGCTACTAATTTTTATTTTTTTTTTTTTCAATAAATATTTTTCAAACATGTTTTGTATATTACTGCAGAGTTTTAGGAAAACGATCTTAGATCTTTTTATCAATCGTTATTGTATATTAATAATTTTGTTTAGCGCCTGAAATGATTTTGAAGATTAACTTCAAGGTTTTATGTTTGCAAATGAAAATCTAAATTCATTGCCAGTAGTATTCTAAATATAAAAGTTTGTTCTGGTTTTTGCCTAACTATCATATAGCTATATGGCAAATTTCTACTTTGTCGTATGTCGTCTCTGGTTCGAGGTCTTCTTCCAATTCCGGGTAGTTCTATTATGGTTCGGAATATTGGCTCTGATCTATTGAGTCGTAGAGACATTTCGATTAAATTATTGTCGTATAACATTTTTTAAATGTTTTTGTCTAATTTCTAATCTATTTTGGTTAATTCTAAGCTATTAAGGTCTTGTTCGAGACTTATGGTCGCACCAGATGAGTTATGACCGAGTTGGTTAACTCATAGAGTAATTTCGGATAGGGTACACCGTCTGCTCGTCACGCTATCTTATTTTCGGCCGGATAGATTCGTGCAACTTCTTAGTCTAATACCGATCCTAATCTTACTCTTATACTATCTAGTCTCAGGTTGTTTAACTAGTCTCTGCTAGGCTCAATAGATCTAGGGTATACTGGTTTATTGCGGCTGCTGAAGTGCTCGGGAGAGTCCAACTAATTTCTAAGTTAAATTCAAATCTCTCTGGTGCTGAAATTACAAGTAACTTCAGCACTTACAAATAAGTGGGTTGTTAGTTAGATGGATCATGATTGGTTAATATTAAATACTTTACATTGGTAAAATATCTAAATTATCCAATCATAAAATGTAGTCTAGATCAGGTTCCAATATGATAAAAAGAAAGGATAAGATTGGAAAAAAAACGGATAAAAAGAACGAATAAAAATAATATTTTTGTTGAAGTAAAAGTTAAGGAAAAGCTATTTTAGCTTTTTTATTTGACTTAAGTGCCTTGAAAGGAACTCTGAACTTGAATTCATTTATTCAGAAACATTGAATTATTAATGAAATTAACTTCTCTGGAAGGGCTGTTGAAAGAGCATTTCTGCTCATCGCTAACCGCCCTGGAAAACTAAAACAAGGGAACAAGTAGAGAAGTGGGATCCTATACAAAAAAAATCATAAAAAACTGAATATCTATAATAGAATTATTGCAAAAATTTTGTAGAAAATATTTCAATCTCGCTTGTTTTCAGGCTTTCAATATCTTTGGAAATAAGATGAGACCCCATCATTATATTACATGCTAGAGTTAGGCGTCTTTTTAAAGATTCTTCAATAACTGTGGTGTGAACAGGCACAGTTGGTAGCACACCTTTGCTGGAGCTACGAGTGACACAACTGTTTGTTATATTTTCTTTTTTCAACAACTCATCTCCTTTTTGATATCTTAAAAATTGAAAAAGCTCCTCAAACAGTTCATACAAATTAATTTCATACATAAGAATTTTTTGTTTCACTATCTCCCTGACAGATTCTGATTCTTATTAAAATAGATGGTTCCTATAATCCTTTTCTGAAACTTGTGTGTTTCCTCGAGATGAGTTTACATGTGTTATCATAAATAACAAAAATCACGTAGGAATTTACTGATTTAGCATATCTTGTATGCAAATGAAGCAATGATGCTCTTGAAGAATACAACGTAGCCTTATAAACTATTCCCGAGAATCTAGCCAATTTTTTGAAAATGGTTGAAATGTGCTCAATAAAAATCAATTTGGAGTCAATATTTATACCTTAATACTTACAAGTACTCAAACTTTCAATTTCTCAACCCAGAAATGATTTGTTTGTGGTGGGATGATTTTTTTTCCTTCTTCAAAATTTTCAACTTTTCAACTATCAGTTTTCACAAATTTTTATACAATTTGAAAGGTATTGTTTTCGTGACCATAAGCTCAAAAAGATATTTCATCTTTGATCAAACTTGGTGATCATTTTTGGAGTTATGGGGCTTAAGGATTGCCAATTTACGCGTAAGCGGAGATTTAGTCTATCTTAGAAATCGTTCAAAGTTGAATTGAGACTTGATATTTATTCTATTTATTACTTTAATGTGACTTCAAAATTCGCAAAAAATATGACTTTATACTTGACGTAGCGTGTCGAGAAATGATTTGCAAAAACATTCAAGCTGACAAAACTCAAACGACCTATCTGAAAAGTGTAAACTTCTTGAGCTGAAACTAAACAAACAATAAACTGTGATCTTTTTCTAATTTGACTTTCGAAGTGTGGAATTTTGACTTTTAAATTAATATTTTTACACCGTTTTTCATATTATCTGAAGATATATTTCTCTGGAGCGAAATATATTTCATCTGTTTTTTTTTGTACAGTTATGGGGGTACAAAATTGCTAATTTGGCCAATTTCGGATAATATTTTGCATTCCTATAACACGCGTAAGCGTTATAGTAATCCGTTTCAATTTAAATTGAGGCATGCAAGTTGGTTTTATCATTACGATACAAGATGCTAAAATCATTCCTTCCTAGTTTAAATTAGCGTCTAGGGAATAAATTGAAGAAAAATTGAAGTATTTCGTATTTTGTTTTTCAACCGAAAAACGTTGTAATAGAGTCGGAACACTGAGGATTTTGCCCTGAATTACCAGCAGTCTTGTTGTCAATTTATATCGGTTTGCAAATTGCCAGCTTAGCTATTTTGGGTAAAAAAACGCACGTCTATTTTATCCGGTTCAGTAGTAGCTCCAGTTTGATTTATGGCAAACTTTTAGGATTTAATAACAGTTGCTAGATGTTAAAATCATCAATATGTATTTTAAAGTAGCGTGCGGAAGAAAATTTTCAACAACAATAACTGAGAGACATTTTTGTTTTCGTTCTAAAATTTATCATTTTTTAAAATTCTTAAAATGATGAATTTTTGCTTAGAGCTTCATGGTCCGTCAGCACAAGCAGGGTTTTGCACTTACACGAACAGTTTTGTTTAATAAGTCTTAAGTTTCAAAAGGCTTTGAGTTTTTAGCTTAATTCTCTAATTTCGATCAAAGATCATTTTATAAAACCATCAAAAGCAACGTTAGCGCGGAACAAAACCAATAATTAAACTTTTGTCGTAGGAAACAATCTATCTGGAAATGGCGCCCGCATCAGGCTTAATAAGTTTCTCTGACAATTGGGAAGGATGAAGCTATTAACATATTAGTTTTTAAGGTCTCAGCTGTGATTTTTATAGCTTGAGCCGGAATTTTCATGATAAATAAATGGAGCAGTCGTTTATTTTTGTAGATCAAACAACTGGTCTGTTACTCCTGTTTAATCGTCTTTTAGTGATTGTTTTTTTTCATTTTATCATCTAAGAATGTCTTTTGAAGTTATCTTTGTATCTAGTTTGATAAAGATTGCTGTAATCAGTTTGCCCGGTGCGCGATCGACGTTGCCATGCATCGGTGAAAACAGACACAAAAGCATGGATGAATTTTTCGACGAGCATGTGAGCAAATTAGATATTATAAGAGCAAAAAAGGCTGGAAAACAGTTTATAAAAACTATATACGAAGACAAAAATGATTTCAACTGCGAATACATTGATCCGTCTTCCGAAAAACCGATGTCAGTTCGGAAATTGAAACCCGGTGATATCAATCTCGTAGCGGCAATCGGAGACTCATTAACCGCGGCTTCAGGCGCCCGGGCGTCAACAATTCTTGGAATCTCAAATGCTTACAAAGGACTTACTTTCAGTATTTCTATAGCTCCGAAAAACTGTACAATAATGTCTCAGACCATTTCACAGTCCCAAATGCTTTGAAATTTTACAACCCAAATCTCAAAGGGTTCTCGTATGGAATCGCATCAGGAGATGATCTAAACACAGCTTTAAACAAGGCAGTTCCGGGGTCAAAAGCGGTCGATCTAATGCCTCAGGCTGAGCGTCTTTTGAACGACTTAAAGACTAACCCAGAGTATGATTTCGAAAATGATTGGAAACTTGTAACTGTTTTCGTAGGTGGGAATAATTTGTGTCAGCTGTGTACTGATTCTAACAGCTCACCGGAAATTTTCGCAGAGGACATAAAGAAAACACTAGATTTTCTTCATGAAAATTTGCCCAAAACTTTCGTAAATTTGGTCACTATATTCGACGCCAAATTTGTTACAGAATTGGGCGAAGGGAACCCTCTTTGCAACGTGGCGCATGTATGTTTCTGTTCATGTCTTCTCGATAACCCGGAGAGTTCCTCAGAAGCCAGTCCAAAATATGCTCAGCTGGTCACTGATTTGGCAAAAAGTGGACGCTATAACACCCGAGAAGATTTCGCAGTCGTGGTCCAGCCCTTTCTGGAAGACATTGGACTGCCGTATAAAAAGAATGGCGAACCAGACTTGTCCTACTTTGCACCGGACTGTTTTCACTTCAGCCAAAGAGGTCACAACGCAGCTGGAAAATCACTCTGGAACAACATGTTTGAGAGGGAGAAGTCAAGACCGGAGTACTTTTCCTCAGAAATGCCAATAAAATGTCCGACCAAAGACGCACCCTATTTGGTTGTAGATAATAGTTAAAATGATAATGATTATGGCAAGTTGCATAAGATTATGAATGCTTTTGTCCAAAATTAAAACTGAATTCAAAACTCTTTTTTCCTGCTTTAGATTCACATGGAACTTAGTTGGAGTTCCAAAATATGCGAGCACATTAAAGTCTAAAACAAACTATTCTAATGTTAAACCCTGAATATTTACAATTATGTACACTAGCTAAAAAATTAAAAGAAAAATATGGTTAAGAATGAATAAGGGATGTCAAATCTAAAACAGCATTAAAAAGTAAATGATCGGCCGATGGTCGATATGAAACATATTTCACAGGTATCTAATTAGTGCTAAAGGTCAAAAGGTTGAACAAAATGAACAACTCGCAACATTCCCCAACGGGAAAAATTTAAAATTTTACAACTAGCTAAAAGTATAAAAGTCTATATACACCCATTTCCCCCTTCAAAGTAGAGATAAACAAAATTTACAAACTGCACAAAACAAAATGAAATGAACAGATCGAAAATTTGCTATCTAAAACTTAGGTTGGTATGTACAAATTTGCACAAATAGGTGAAATTTTACACAAAGTTACCTAATGTACACTAAATATACACGGAGATAAAATACATTTCAACTACAAATGAGTTCAAAGAGTTTTAATTGTATTCGTCGTCATATTCATCTGATAATTGTCGTATTTCTTGATCTATCGTAAAATTTTGCTCACAGAGTCTCGATCTGACACTATATTGGGGGATTTCCCCGGTGGTAGACTTCCACGAAGTTGAAGTCAAGTATGATGTCTGAACGTTCCCCGTTAGGGTAGAATTTGACGACCACGTAAGCGTTATTTCGGCGACCAACAACTGTCTATGGGGGATTTCGCGAGAGGAGTGAGGAAATCAGATGGAGACCAGCACAAGAAAGCAGAGGTCGTACAATAACTTGATTCGTTTCCGTGTTGCGTCTCAGGGCTCTCATAAATATCCGCATATCGGCGTTCACCATAGAACTGGGGTGGTCCCACCATTTTTCTAGGTCTGATTGTAGGTTTCGGCAATAGGATTCGTTTTCTTTGGTGTGCTGCCCAGCAAAATTGGCTCTGATGCGGATCCGGATGATGATGGTCCAGCAAGACTGCGGGCTGGGGTCGCGACCGATGGTCCGCTGGGTACTTCTTCGCCGGTAAAACTAAAATCGACGTTTTTGTCCGATTTCTGGATAAATGAGATTTTGTTATTTGAAACATCCTCGAAGCACTCGTCGATTAAGCCGTCCCCCGATTCTACATTTAGTGAAGAAGATGAGGAGGATGAACCTGACGATTTCTGCGGGGAATCCGGAACGACGATGACTTCTGCCGATGAATTCGTGGTCGTTTGTGTGGGCGTCGGGTTTCCGCAAGTCAAGTTCCCACTGGTCGTCTTCTTCTGAGGGTTAACTCTGGTTGACTTCTTGGGAGGCGATGATTTCCTCTTTCCGGCTAAACTTGGAAAGCATGAACTATCGTTACCCTCGGTTGGGTTTTAACAAGGATCTTAGAAGAACCCGGAAGTATTTTCCTTTTGATGGCTAGGTCGGATTTGCGTAGGATATGTCCATATTCCAAAGTGACCGTGTGGTAAGAAGAATCAACAATCGCCTTTTAACGGGATTAAAATACGGTTTTCCGTTTTTTTTTTCGGTTGATGTTTTTTCAAAAAAGATTACCCCTGGTAGTCAATTTCACTTAAGTGGGTCGTTTCCAATTACAGATCGGGATTAGTTTTGCTCGGTTTCCATGGGAAATCTTTGCCAGTGGGATGTCCCAGTGTGAAGAGGAGTCCATGACAGCGTCCTCGCATCCGTCCTTTGCTCCATAGTGTAGCTCCCAGTTCTTTGCCCGGCGGTCTGATATGATTGACTTTCCTTGATTCTTCCCCGATGGGTTGCTGACTGTACATATCAGCACTGGACACTTCTTCTGTTTTACTTCAATTCCTAAATTCGGAAGGTTGTCAATGCCCAGGATATTTGTTTCATGTCCTCCCTTAATAAGAAAGGGTTCTTTTCGCATATCCACCCGTTCAATTGTGTTTGGACTTTTATTTTTCCCTAGATATTGAATGTGCTCTCCGTGAAACCGCAATACAACTGTTTCAACTGTCTCCGTGAAACCACAACACAACTGTTTCGAACGTTTATCTACAGGATGGATCTTTAAGTTGGGATAACGTAGTTTCAATTCAAGTAATACGTTGTTTTAAAAAAAACTCTCTGGGCTGGCCGAATCTACAGGTATGTTCATATTTACAATCCTTTCCCACCAAAGTTCTATGCTCAATAATTTTTTCGTTTCCAATCCGTTTGGCTCGTAAAGTGTCCTCACGTTCAAAACTGAATAGTCGTCGTCGTCGCTTTGACCGTTTTCCTTCCAGGCGTTAATCACTCAACAAGTTTCTTGGTTTCCTTCCCAGGACTCCTCCGACGGGACGTATTCACAATTTTCGGTATCGACAGAGTCATTTACAAAAATTACAGATGGTTTTTTGTTCTTTGATTTACTTAATTTTGCGGAATGGCCTTTATAGTTACAGTTTATACAAATGATCTCTCTGGCCGGACACACACTTAGATGTCCCTAAGTAAAAAGATTTCCGCATTTCATGCATGATTTGTTTCTTTCAATAATTAAGCTTGGTTCCTTTTTGACGTGATTGTTTCCGTTAAATGATTTAAAACTTGACCCGTTGGTGGCTTTCGCCATAGTTAACTTTTGGTGATTGAAGAAGCTTTTTCGTCTATAAGGGCCTGGCTCAAAGCTTCCGATGGGCTGATTGTTGACGATAGTGGTTTCCGTTGGTTCTCGCTATTCTTCATATTGCAGAAAAATACGTCCCTAATCCATTATGCCTCCTCGGATTCTCTGAAGTTGCAAGTGCTAGCTAGATCTGTCAATGCTCCCCAGAACTGTTCGAAAGATTCCCTTTCTCTTTCTTTTCGATTAAGGAGTTTGTACCTCTCAATTGTGAAGTTTGGAGGTTTATTGAAAGCAGGGTTCAAGAGATCCCAAAATTTTCTGAAATAGATTGCTAAAATTTTTACTCTTGTGTTTTTTTTTGAGAGAATACCCTTTCTCCTTTTTTTTCCGAGGGCTATACAGATAATTGATCTCAACTTTTTGTCCGCTTCCGCACGTCTCAATCCTCCAAATTTTTTTGTTTCATCGGATATTCTTTTAAATTGGGCGGCTTCGTAGGAGTTCATAGTAATTCTAATTCTTGCCTCCCGACTGTTTCGTTCTTTTTCCGACTCACTTCCTGTGGACTGTTCGAGGATTGGAATCTGACTTTCTGGTACCTCTGGTCCGCTTATATTGTCGATGTCGAGATTTTCGTTTGCCATGATGGCCAATTGAAATGGGTCGCTCCAATGGCTCCAGGATTGTGGTGGTTCCATAGTGTGGTTCGGCCAGAATGCAGGAAATCCGCGCAGGTTCGATACGTTTGACTGCGCCATAATAAGCTATTCTAATGTTAAACCCTGAATATGTACAATTATGTACACTAACTAAGGAATTAAAAGAATAAAATGGTTAAGAATGAATTAGGAATGTCTAATCTAAAACAGCATTAAAAAGTGAATGATCGACCGATGGTCGATACGTAACATTTTTAGCAGGTATCTAATCAGAGCTGAAGGTCATTAGGTTAAACAAAATGAACAACTCATTATGCTAATCACTGAAAATTACAAATTTAATCCTAAATGACCAAACAAAATTTTGAATCTTTTTCTCACACGCAGTTGTAAGCTCAATATGAAAAATTTCGGACAAATTTTACATAGGAAAGTTTTAAGTCATAATTGTTTAACTTATGAACATAATTCTAATTTGTTTTAGAATTAGAAGCCGGCCTAGGTTGCAGTGATTTGAAATGTTGGTTTTCTGGTTTATAACCTGTAAAGCCAAAACTAAAACAAAAAAATGTTAAAAAAATGGGTTATTGGAATCATTTATTTTGCCTGTTATCAGTTTGTAATGATTTGTGAGCCAACTTTCTATGCAACGCACTAATAAAAATGTAGTTGGCATTACCTGGGTCGCGTTGCTTGACTTATCATTCTATTTTCTCGACAAAAGTGTGGTATCTGTTGTCCGTCTCAATTAAAATTGGGTATGTTTCAAAACTGTCAAGTAAATACGTTATAGTTTAAATTCATCGATCGAAAAAAATGTGCACACTTTTACTCTGCTCACTGTTCGTTTCACGTAAAATTAGGTTAATCAGGCAAACGCAACAAAAGCTGAGTCTGAGTGATTCATTATTTTAAGTTCAATCTATTCATGACTTCCTGAAAAATTTCTCAGTGGTGAGAGAAACCGGTTTGAAATTTAAGCTATTGGAATTTCCTTCAAATCTCCTTCGTATGAGCTCGATCAGTTTTTCGACTATCTTTGATGTTGTTCCGGCTCGATCTATTTTGCAATCATGCTTCAACTATATTTCGACCTTCTCGACTCCGATTTTCCCGGTTATCATGTAACATCAGGATATTGGTTTAAATTTATATAAATAGAACTAAAAAATTAGTTGAAAAAACTAGCTTTTATAAAAACAGTCAAGAAACATAACCAACAGCATTGAAAAAATTGATTTATTTACAGAGCAGCCACTAGGCCGACAATACGTCGGTAGACGTCCATTGAGCCAAAAGCCAAAAAAAAAGAAACCAAAAGAAATTAATTTCAAAAATAATATTGAGCGATTAAATTTCAAAATTTTGAATTTTTACAGCCCTAACAAACTAAATTAATCGTTTTTTTCTTCAAACAACGCAATCTAGGTTGACCAAACCCATAAAGCACTAGCTGAAACGACTTGGGCCAATTAAGGTTTTTAAGAAAAAAAACACAGACGGAAAAGTATACTAAACCATGGCTCGAAAAATTCTATTTAACATTTGTACCTTCGAATCAAGCTGGTCAAAACATAAAAAGAACCAAAATTCAAGATATAGCCAATAATAGATCAAAAAAAAATCAGAAAACTCTATTTTTACCGAGAAAAAATTTCAATTTAAAAATTAAAAAAAAAAAAATCAGGCCGAGACTCGAATCTTAGACCATTGGGCGCAACAGCGAGCGCATTTTTCAAGATCAAGTGCGAAGTGCTTGGAATAAAGCACTTACAGATTTGGAAGAAAATTTGTTTGCTGGAAAAATAAATGGTTCTCGCAAGTGTACAACTTTGTTTTCGAGTTGATATTTTGGAAGGAGTCTTGACATGAAACAAAATGAGGTAATCACTTATTTTAGATCACTAGAACTCGCCTGTTCATCTCAAAGTCTTGAAAGAGTCCTTCTGAAAAAATTTTTATATTATGATAATTACCCATAATCAATTGATCGATGCTGGTTGCATCACTCTCTCAGAAATTTTTTGAGCCAAAACCCTAATGACCATGGTTTTTTCTCTGAATTGATTAATCAAAAATTTATTAAAACTAATTCACATTAATTGGATAGTCTTTTTACTATTTTTTTCTGTATACACACAAATGTTGTCAAACGTTTTTCTCGAAAATTTACATGGAAAACGGAAACAATTCAAATTTCAAACAAATTTATATGGACTGATGCAATGAAAAGCCTGTTTTACTCAAGCTGAGCTAGTATTGAAACTATAGAACACTGATATTTTATGGCATTATCTCAGAGTGCTATGATGTACATTTTAGAGTAAAAACTTTTGGAGGACTGTTTCTTGCAACTCAACAGCCCTTTTTTAGAAACTTTTCAAGTTTCTGGTCTATACAGGGGCGGATCTAGGATTTTCTCGAGGGGGCGGGTTCTCAAAAAAATGGTCGCCCCTTTTTTCAAGTCGACCAAATTAATTTTCCGAGCTCTCCCAAAGCACTATAAAGACCCTGTTTGGCCAAAGTTTCTGCGCCGCACGCAAAAAATTGAAAAACAGGTCAAAAAAGGCGTTTTTAGCCTTTTTGGAAATTTTGACCAAAAAAGTCGATTTTTTTTGGCGCACAGTCTCCCCTCAAAATTATTATAAATTAGCTTAAAGGGCGCCTTTAGAAAAACTGTAGGATCCGTTCCCAAAAAGGGATATCTCAAAATAGTACAAAATGGGACATTTTGGGTAGGAAGGGAGCGAATCCCTGCGGGAAGGGGGTGTCCCCCCCCCTAAATCCGCCACTGTTTCTATAGTTGTTTCTCTAGGTGCAGCTGAAAATGTCTGAGAAAGCAATGCTTCAATTTTCAGCTAAATAATAGCGAAGCCCTGTCTGTTATGACTGCCTTGTAACATCAATGAAAACGATTTTCGTTAAAAAAAAAGTATAAAACTTTACAATTTCTGTCTTTCTTTCATTTCATCACCCATATCTTACAAAAGGCTGATTCAAAATAACATTTTTTGCTTTCGAAAATTATTTTATTTTACCATCTACGCTTTATTCAGTGGCCTGCACAGTAGTTTTTCACGGAAGGAGGCGGTTTTTCAAAAAAATTTCAAAACTTTTGCCGGCTTCTTTTTAGGTCGACCAATTTAATTTTCCGAGCTCGCCGAAAACGCTATAAAGACCCTATTTTGTCAAATATTTTCTGGGCCAAGTCAAATATTTCAAAAAACAGGTTCAAAAAGGCGTTTTAGGCACTTTTTTATGAAAAATTTGACCAAAAATTTGTTTTGTTTTGTTTCGGCGCGCGCTCTAAAATAAGTTATATTGACGCTAAATGCGCCTTACTCAAACCTTGAGGTTAGTCAGCCAAAATTGCAAGTCCTAAAAATAGATTCCCAAAGGGACATTACGAGGCCAAAATTGTGCTTTTGGGAAATGTATGCGGATTCTGCAACAAGGACGCTCCCTTTGATCTTCTTTTGTTCTTTCATTTTTTTGATCGTTCCGACACAAATTTAACATGTTTAAAGACTTGTTTCTAGAATGCGAAAACATACAGACACATCCAGTGCACAGTTTGGCCTCGTAATGGAGAACCATTTGGGAAAAAATGGCAACCAGAATTGAGGAGGGCGGTCCCCCTCCCCCGCACCCCTCTCGGTACGCTACTGGCTGTATTAAAAAGAACAATATCTCGCATAAAACACATCTCAAAACTAAAGTTTCTAAAACCTCAGAAAATTTTTGAATGGCTGCAAAAATTATCCTCAACATAGGTTAAGTTAAAGCCAACATTTCTTCAATTTCCAATTGAAAAAAAAAACTAATTGTTTCAGAGAATCAACTCCTTGTGTTCATCTATTTCAAATAAAATCTTTGGCAGACAAAATCTTAAGTGTTCAAGTAGTTACTGTGAATAACTGTGGATAATTATGCTAGCTTTTAAAATGATAAACTTGTTGTTCCGACTTTCGATACGAAAGTAACGGAATATTTGTGCTCGGGGTGGTTTTTTTTCTTCAGACCAATTTCGACTTTTTAACTAGCCATTTTCGACGGAATTTTGTTTATCATTCAAAAGGTATTGTTGTCCTGGATCTAAATTTGAAACAATATTTCTATTCTTCTGTAGTTTATATGGCGTGTGCGGGGATGCTTTTCATAGAAAAAATTTCAAATTTTAGAAATTTTTTTTTTCATTTTCTTATTACATTTAAGTTGTTAATGATATTTATGTAAAAACTGCCCCATAAACCTTATAAGGCAGTCGGAAACTTCAGGGCTTCGCCCTGATATGAGCAGTCTGGTACTATTTTGTCAATTACAAATTTGAAAAAAAACAACACTTCTTTGAATCATTTGGTCAATGACTGATTTAGTCAATTGAATTATTTAGTCAATTTCTTGTTTCAAATATGACGAGAAAAACTTGGGCAAGATTTTGAAAACAATATTAAAGTTTAAAAAAGCTTAATTAAAAAAGGGCCCCCAATTTGCTTTATTGGTAATCTAGTTCTGATAAAAAGTAATTTTGGTGAAAGAAAAACAACATAATGACACCTATCACGTAAATCAGCAATAATCATATAATTCTATGCGCAGCAGATATTCAATAAAAACTTTTGTATCAGGGTAAAACCTTGAATATCCATAGTGCCCCTTAAGGTATCTGAAATAGTTTTTGGTTGAAAATGATTGAGTTTGAAATAATTATATTTTGAACTTCTCAATTTTTTGCTAATGTTTCCTGCGCAGGCAATGTAAATTACAAAGTGATACATTTCTCACGCGGTAACGCATTTTTTGGACAAAAAATCATCTTGTCATAGATCAATTTGCACATAATTATAAGTCTCTTACGCTAGTTGACGAAACTTTAAATCACTTGTTAGCGAAAGGTTTATTGTTCCGATCACTCAAAGCGCGGAAAGGAACTTTGGATTGGGGTCGGGTCGGTTTTTTTCGAAACGATTTTGGCTATCGCAAGAAGAACTCGTAGCGGATCAAATCTACTTTTTTATTAAAGCGCTTTTGACCGTGATTTGAAATTAAAAAAGAAAATTTAAAAAAAATTTTCATTGTCGAGGAAAATAAGTCCAAATGATTTCGGTTTTCAGAACAATTCCGACAAAAGTTGATGAAATTAGACAAAATTGGCTAAGATTGCAATTTAATTTGGCTGCAATGTCCACGTGTTGGTTTTAGCTACTTTAGTTTGTTTCCATCCATTTTAATATTACGTTGCCATCAACTTTATTATTTTATAATTGTTCCGACCACTGAAAATGGGGAGGAATTTTGTAATCGGGTGTGTTTTAGTTTTTTTCCTTTTGTTATCCACACATCATTTCAAAGCTCTTTTAGCCGTGATTCCAACCCGTGATTCCAACCATCAAAAAATTCTCAACATTTTTTCCGGTGTCGAGTAAATTTTTGATTTTTTGTCTAATTTCGAGCAACGAAAGACAGCGAGCAGGTTTATTTATGCTTATTTTAAGCCGTTTACACTAGCTTATTTATAATTGATTTCAGTTTTACTTGAGTAAAATTAGTTTTTGAAGATTTTTAATGCCATTTTGGGAATCAAAACTCTTTTTTTTTCTAGAGATTTTCATCAAAAACCGTTGTCATGTTTGCCTAGTTTTATATGATTGTCGAATGTGCCTTAATTACAGTTTCACATCAGATCCTTTTGTCACACCACACATAAAAAAAGCTACACCAATTTCAAAAAAAACTTTCTTGTAGTTTTTTGAAGACTATGGTCGGAACATTCTGCGCTACTCGCACAGTAACCGGATATCCTTGTTACACTTTGTAAATATTTTGAAAAATTTATTACGTTCAATTTGAACTAAAATTTACTAATTTTAACAAAAATGTTTCCTATTTTATGAAAATTTAACGATGTAATTGCATTTATTTTCCATATCTCGCTTGTTCATTGCACATTGCAAGTCTTCTGATGTTAGCCAAACAACTCGCAGAGTGTTGCTGCAGTTCTTTATTCTGAGAAGAAATTGTTTCCATCATGATATCAAACACACCATTCTTATGCATAGTTATGCAATTCTGAGGATCTTCTGAAAGTTGGTTCAACGCGAATGCCGCTGAAGTTCGAATCATTTCATTTTTGGTTGTTTTCATGAAATTCAGTATCGGGATAACCGCCCCTTCATTGCCGAACTCTCGACAATTTGACTTCTTGGCGCTGCAATGACCAATAGCATCGCATAAGGGAACTTTTAGGAGGTCATTTTTAGTTGCTGTCAAACTCGACAGCAGCTGAACAACTTTAAGATCGGTCATAATTCCCAAGTTTTCACTGTCTTGGGCTATTTGAGCGATTGTTTTACACATGGCTGCTAAAACTTCATCGTGATTTGATTTGAGAAGGTTCATCATGATTTCTAACCCGCCTACATATGCTCTCACTTCCTCGCCCGCGTCTTCCATGTTTTTAAGACATGGACACATCGCATTGGCTGCACTTGCTTGAACCTAAACAATGAATTATTCCTTTTTGACTCTAGATTTTGTCAAAAATAAACAGAGCATTTGTTTTTAAGATACTTTTTCAAATTTTCCGAAAACAGGCTGTTTATTACTGTGCATTATTAATCGCTCTATTCGGAAAGTAACAGCCAATTAATAATAGAAAAATGCGTAAGAGAGTTATTAATAACTAAAACTTAAAAAATAGATTAAGGCGTTATTTATGATTTCTGATGAAAAATGATGATAAAATTTTTTTAATGTACCTCCCAAGATGGGTTCTTGAGAAGAGACCAAAGAAGCCGAATTCCGTCTAAGTCGATAATAGTTTTAATGCTCTCTTTGTCTTCGGCCATCACACCAACAGCGTCAGTCGCATTCACGAGCAGCCCAATCGTGGTCGTGCCCAGCTGACTCATCAGGTTTCGGATCCCGCCTTTGTCTCTTATTTCTTGCCGGTTATGTTCTCGTTTCGCAAGCGTAGCAATTGCACCGCTACAATTGATCCGAACTTCCTCGGGCTGTTCGTGATTTATAAACCCAATCATCGTTTCAATTATGTTTGCTTTCTCGAACACTTCGGCGTTTTTCGGAGTTGCGGAACATCGCCAAATAGCACCCGTAGCTGCAATTAGGAGCTCCTTGTTTTCGGAAAATTCAAGCAGGTCTACCAATGGCATCAGTCCTTTCTGATTACGTACAATGTCTGAGGATTCTTTATCTTCGCAGAGTTTGCGGAATGCTGAAGCACAGTGCATTTTCAGCTCAATATTATCGCTTTTAAGGTGCCGAACAATATGCTCAACCAAACCCATATTTCGAATCGCAATTCGGTAGTTAATATCTGAGGAGCATTCTTGAAGAGTATTGACTACAGGTATTAAAATTGTGATGTCATTAACATTAGTCAGGAGTTCCGCAAGAACCGGAATCGCGCCTACTTTTCGCATCGCTTTTTTAATTTTGTTGCTTTTAGCACACGTCGACAAAGCTTTGGTCGCGCATCTTGTAATTTCAATATTGTGTTTTTTCGTTTCTTCTGTAACGTGTTGATTTAATTTTTTGTCTCTGGCCATTTCAATCAAGGAAACCAGACGCTTAATTCCGCCGTATTGCCGAACGGCCGTTCGTGCTTTCCCGCTATTGGCTAAATTTGCAATCGTTTCAGCAGCGAGGCATTTCAGGTCTTTATTTGGTGACTTTGATAAATTCACGATAGCTTGAAGGCCTCCCAAATCTCGGATGGACTTTCGGATGCCGACGTTTGTAGTGATTTCTTTTAGGATCCGAAGTGATCCAATTTTGCACTTGGTATCATCGGTGTCTATTAAATTGAGCAGTAAATCCAATCCGTGCTCTTCGATTGTCATTTGGATATTTTCCTGTCATAGCTCTTTTTAAGTTCTTTTCTATTAAAAATATCATCTTAGCTATTAAAGTAGTGCAAAAGAACATATCGCAAACAATTTTTTGATAAACTTGACCTTTTTTGAGGTGGTGCGAAAAACTCTCATTTTATTTCAAATTTATTTCTAACAAAGGGGAATTTATTTCTATCATTTTTTGCCAACTTAAGCCAACAATGCATGGCGGAACCTGAAAAGAGCATTGCCTGTCGCAAGTTCATGTCTTTCAGCAGACATAATACAATGATGGTGACTGTTTTGTTGCCCCATCGCATATACTTGATGAGTTTCTCCACTTGCAGCACCTCTGCAGACTTCTCAGCTGTGAACCCACTTTTCAACGCCATATCCTAGAAAAATCAGGGACGGGTGTAGGATTTTTTTGAGGGGAGGGGAGGCTTTCAAAAAGCTCAAAAACTTCTCCAACCTTTGAGAGATTTCAAGGAACAATGAAAAGATTTTTTTTGCAACAATTTTCTGCTCCAAACTCGAAGCAATGAAAAAAAGCGCCAGTAACGACATTTGAGGATATTTTTTGAACTTATTGACCTCCCTTCAAAAGCATTGTAACATCGAGGCAGCTTCTACAAAAATTAAGGGGTCGATGGACCAAAAATGAATGCAATAAAACTTACCTGAGGCGCACTTTCGGCGGTCAGGGCATCAATTTCTTGAATTCAGAGGAAGGGGAGCTCATGCAAAACTATTCGAAATTCCGCAAGCTTTTGACACCCCGAAAAATACTAGACATTAATTTCAATTAAGAAAGCAACGGTTCTTTCTTATTAAACCCTCCCAAGCTGTTGTGTGAAAAAATCCCATTAAAAATATGGAAAGAAATTGTATGTTATTAAAAGATAATTTTACGAAAAAGTTAAAGGCATCTGACAAAAATATATCATCAATTCAAGTTAGAGGCCCCAAATTTGAGTTGATGATTTATCTTTTCTCCAAAGCTTTTAGTTTTTTGCTCAAAAATTACAATGCAGTTTGAAAAAATTAACCAGCCATTGAGCCCACAACAACAATCTGAGCGACAATTATGAGACAAAATCGTTGTTATTTTACTTGTTGAAAAAATCGTTGAAAAAAGCTGACCAAATCGGCCCCGTCCCCGACCTTTTGAACTAAAATGGCTTTACTAACATAGGTTAACCTGACTATTTACGTTTTTATCCTCTCATCAGATATTCCGAAAAAGCTCGAAAAATAAATTAATCTTTAAATTTATTCTTTGAAATGGGGTAAGAAGTCCTGTATGCAATCAAACTGTATCTTGAACAATTGAAAAAAAAATGGTTTTCAACAATCAAATACACAATCAAACCTAAGCTAAACTGAAATTCAATCTCAATTTATCATTCTGCAATCGAGTTTGATTTTAATGTTCACTTTTTTTCAAGGCTTCCCTTCTAACCTAATCTAACTTAACTCTTAACTTAATTAACTTACCAAGGAAAGAATTTTTGGCCCAAAATAGGTAAAAAGTAACTACACCAACTAGAGAAGGAACTATCTAAAGTGGTTTTTTCCGATTTTTTTTTGACAACCTAAATTGAGAGCAGTTCATTGAATTTATGCTATCTTTAGGCTAAGATAAAAAACTACTTTTTTTAAACTTAACTTAGCAATATCTAACTAAAACTCATCCCTTTTCAGTTAAAATATGCCCGATTAAGATAGATAAACCTACAAATCAAGCAAAAAAAAATTATGAGAAAAAAACGTTGTTCTTTTCCTGCGATTTCCTCCAGTTTCCGATTCAAAAGTTCAAATGCAGAAGTTGCTTTTACCTAAATGATTCGAGTTTTTT